GACTATCGATCGGAAGGTTATTTATTGCTTTAAGTTTAACAGCTAAGTTTACACTGCTGCTTCTTAAAATATTCCAACGCGTTTCACATAGCACGAATTTTTCTAAAAATACAGAAACTTTGCAGGGGAAATGTACTTAACCACATGAAACAATGGAACACTTTTTTTCTTTGTGTGTGGATGACTTAATATTTATTTAATTTCAATTCCAAATATTTTCATTCCTTTAAAAACTTAATGGAAACTTCAAGGAATGCTAATTTGATTGAAAATTTTAAAATACTAATAGACATGGTTTTTTTTGAATATTTTTTCCCTCTATTATTCAATTGCCTATAAAATTTGGAAAGGAATATTTTTTTAAGTTATCCGACTACGTTTGGAACCTTGATTTTGAAAAAGCTCATAAATGGATAATTTTCGTAGTATTTAGTGTCACATAGATTAGAATATATGCATAAAATTGTTTTAAGGACATTTCGACAAAAAAATTTATTTAAGTACAATATTTCGGCAAAAAATTAACTTAGAATAAAACTTTTTCAGAATGTTTTTCCTTTTGTGAAAAATGCTTCTATTATAATAATATTTTGCCTGTATGTAGCTCAGACCTATGTACAGAGGCTAAACTATGATTTTTGAAAAATTCACATTATTTTCAGAGTAACAACCCATTGAAATAATGATCGGCTTTTTTTTTTCTTAACATTTCTCCCCTCTGTTGTCGTAAAACATGGATAAACCCACTTCTAAGTTATATATTTCAAAAACTCTAGTTGAGCCTCTGTACAGAAGTCTAAGCTATATACAGGCAAAATATTATTATAATAGAAGCATTTTTCGCAAAGGGAGCACATTTTGAAAATTGGTCATTCTATATTCATTTTTTGTCAAAATATTGTACTTAAATAATTTTTTATTGTAATACTATTGTTAAAACAATTTTAAATACATTTTCTAATCTAAGTGACACTAAATATCTTAAATATTATCCATTTATATGCTTATGCAAAATCACAAATCCGAAAGTAGTCGGATGCTTTAAGGCCGGGGTGTGCAATAAGTCGATCGCGATCGACCGGTGGACCTCCAAGACATTTTGGTGTGACCGCCTTTACAAAGACCTAATAATCGTTCCATTATACGAAGATCTAGAAATACCGTATTCAATCGAATCGAAGCCACCATCGTTTCTATGCTGGACTCCAAATTCTCAACAAGATTTTGTGAAAATTGAGAAATAGTCTAAAATGGTTTACCCATATCCAATTTTACGAAATTAAAATAAATGTAAAACAGTGCTTCTCAAACTTTCAATACACGCGACCCACTATTCAATCATCATTTTCATCGCCCCCTCCATACAAAAGCAATGTATTGAATTCAATAATACTATACCTTGACACCAAAGCTACAATACGACTTTAACCTCTTATGTGCCACCAACGTATATAAACGTCTCGCTCAACCAAAGCATTAATTTGATGGACGTATATATACGTCTTTCCGAAGTACGATTTTTCTGTGCAGTGCTATCCATAAAATTATTCCGAAGGCTTTGAAATGCAATAAAAGGACCCTGACAGTGTTTGCGAAGGATTTACTTATTTCAGAGGATTTGCTTATTTTTATTTCTTTTCTCCTCCCCTCCAAAAAAAAATCAAAATCTTCTTCGTGGTAAATGGTGGTATTGGCGAGCAAATCGCTTAACTTTTAATTGCAGTTGAGAAATTAATTATAAACCGTATAAATTATCAAGATAAGTGTTAATACAAGCCTATGGGGCCACTGATAAATATCAAACTTGTTCTTAACTTAGTATTGTTAAATTAATAATAAATTATACATTGATCAGTACTGATTTATTCAAAAATGTATTATATCAGTGTAAATGTGTGTTCTATATTTCATTATATCAAAAAGTATTTTGTTAGTTTACTTTCAGAAAATTTTTTAAATAACCTTTTGTTTTCGACAGGCTCACGCCCCCTCGTAGAGTTATCACACCCCTCAAGGGGGACGCGCCCCACAGTTTGAGAAACGCTGATGTAAAAGGAAAACTTATAAGAAGTGAATAACCAGTTATTTTTTATCAGAATTATAAACTTTTAAATACGGGCATGAAACTGTAGTTACTCTAAATACCCCATACACAGCAATTTTTCCCCTTCGAATCTAAACCCCAGCCGAATTTTAGTAGCATTAACATTGAGGAAAAAGTGCGGCTTAGATTCGAGTAAATACGGCATTTCAAAAAATACGGAGGAAAAAATCGAATCATTAGAGGAAATTTCGTTGAATAGAAAATCGACTTCGTTATTTTTGGAGGTTATTCTACGAAAAGAGTTGCAAAATGTTCTTGGTTTCAGGAAAAAGTTTGCTAAATAGAGAAATTCGTAAAATAGAGGTTCGTAAAGTTGAGTCCGACTGCATTGAATGCTTTCTTTTTTGCTCACTATACCTACGCTACGCCACTAGGTGGACCGTAACACCTTGAAAAAATTAGAAATAGCCCGTACCCTGGAAAAGTCTGCCCACCCTTGTTCTAGAACTATAACCCACTAAGTTCACAAGGTATGCCATTTCTTTTAAATAAAGAGTATTCCGATGCATACGTAGAAGTCTCATATGTTTCGTGCTCATCTCTCTTTTTTATCATTTTTAATACTCTCATTTTTATACCCGGCGTATAACGAGAACCCGTAAATTTTTATCTTATTTTTTTGTGTGTAAAAAGTGCCGCCGGAAAGTCATACGCCGGATTTTACCGTGATGGATTCAAAAACTAAATTTCCTCAAGAGTTTCTCGTGAGTTGAAGGAGCTGTTATACATGTTATATTTAACTAAGTTTTAAAAGTCCTGAGACAGCATGGTCAGTGTGAGCGCACGAAATAAATTCCCAGATATCATGTATCTCAATTGATCTTCGTTCAGAGCTGTGAGTTTATTAATATCTCTCTCCAAATGTCCACACCACGCCAACTCAGCATATGCCGAAAGGCACCAGAATTTGAACCTGCAGCTGAACAGAAATAATACTAATCACAAGTTCACGACCATAACCACTCGGCTAAAACAGCCATGCAAACTTATGATATACATCGCAAACGGATTTTGATTAGCTCTAGAGCAGGGGAGAGCAGATTTTTCTAGGGTACGGGCTACTTCTAATTTTTTCAATGTGTTGCGGTTCACCCAGTGACGTAGGTGTAGTGAGCTAAAAGAAAGTATACAATACAGTCGGACCTCCATTTTACGAACCTCTATTTTACGAATTTCTCTATTTAGCGAACTTTTTCCTGGAATCAAGAACATTTTACGATTTTCTTCGAAAAATAACCTCCAAAAATAGCGAATCTATTCAACGAAATTTTCTCTTTTTTTCCCCTTATTTTTTAAAGTACCGTATTTACTCGAATCTAAGCAGCAATTTTTTCCCAATGTTAATGCTACTGAAAATCGGGTGCGGCTTAGAATCGAAAAGGGAAACATTTATTGGATGGGGTATTTAGAATAATCACAGCTTCATCCATCTATTTAAAGGTTTATAATTCTGATGAAATAACTAATTATTCACTTATTAGTTTTGCTTTAATTTTTTTCTTTTTTTAATTTTGTAAAACTGCATATTTATAAACCATTTTCACAAAATCTTTTCGAAAATTCGGGGTGTTGCTTGGAATCGATGGAGGCTTATATGTGAATAAATACTTTATATTTCTAGACCCCTTCGAATGATGGAATGATTATTAGGTCTTAGTGAAAGCGGTCACCACAAAATGTCTTGGCGGTCCACCGGTTGATCGCGATCGACTTAATGCCCACACCGGTTCTAGAAGTATATTATACTTCAAAACGTAAGAGAATTGCGCTCGTACATTTCAACCGGTATATGGCAGTAGGAGCTTCGTAAACAGCTAAATTTCCTCTTTTTATTAGTTTTCGAGGAAAATAGCAAAGGTAAGCAAGTGTAATTATAAACAGCAAGTAATATAAAAAAATTTTTTAAGTCAATTCCTACTTAGGTCAACAAAGAAAATTTTATTTTGGTTACTTTTTATTAAGGGGAGTTGGAAACCCCTCTCTTTCTCTATACTGACAATGTTAAATTGACTGTTTTCGATGTACCTTTTCTCAAAATCTGTTCTATGTACATGCTTGAAATTTTTCATACTATTAAAGTACACCTCTCTCATTATACTAAAATTAGCGCTTTTAGCTAATTTTGAATTTTTTATTAAATTATGAAATATTTTATCAAACATTGCAAAATTTGACCCATTTTTTACTTAAAAAATTTGTAAAAATTAAATTTTTGAGTTTTTTACAAAAAGCACATTTTAGTATGTATTAGACATCATTATAAATAATTCATAAAAAATTTATATACCTGTGAACAGTAGTTTGTCAGAAAAGGTACATGGCACATTAAAATTTTCATTTTGAGATAAATTGATTTTAATGTATACAGTGAGACTTTTAATCGGTAAGGAAATAAAAAAAATAAAAGGCTCAATTTAAAATAAAAGATACATGTTTTGGTTTATATCGGTCGTTACACTTTTAAGCAAAAACAAAGTAATTTGTTTACAATTTTCGCCATTAAAATATGCGTGGACCAAATTCAACGATTATTTAAAAATACGTTTTAAGGGCTTCTAAATACCCTAGAGGTTAAAGTAAGGTATTTTTTGAAAGGTTAAAATCTATACAATTTAAAAATGTAAAAATCTCAAATTGTCAAAAAAATAAGATGTTAGCTTTCCAACACCCCCTTAAATATAGTTACAATTAATATAAATATATAAACACATATGACAAAATCACAAGATTAAGTGACAAAATCGAAAGCAATTTTCCTTGCAATTTTTCAATTTCCTATCTATATATGGCGTTGGACTATTTTTTGTTTTCTTGATAATATTTGATCATTAATTAAATTTAATTATTCCAATAAAATAGTATGTAAAAAAAGAAATCACATTCTCAGAAATTAGGCAACCCCAAATGAGATTCGAACCCATTATCTTTGAATTAGAAGTCCAATGCGCTATCCATTGCGCTACAGGGACACGCCGAATGATTTCCCTTTTCATGTATGGTGTTGGACTATTACTTTTGTTTGTTACTATTTACTCATTAACTAATGAATTAATATTTGAAAAAACCCGTATTAACATCAAGTGTCATCCACTACAACTTTAAAAAAATGTATTTGAATTTGAGTGGATGAATAAAATATATTTTATTGACTATTGAAAATTTGAATGATATATATGTATATATATATGGGAGAGTGTCAACTAATATATATATATATATATATATATATATATATATATATATATATATATATATATATATATATATATATATGTAAGGATAATTAAATTAGATTAAAAATTAAAATTCCTATCTAGCACTTGACTCATCTTTCTCATTTCACATCTTTAAGTATCAAACTAATCACCCATTTATTTCTTCCGAACATATGAGAACAGATGTAAAATGGTTGAATAGAGATCTTTTCATTTTTCTAACTTTTAATCTGATTCTGTCTTCAAAATCATAATATATATATATATATATATATATATATATATATATATATATATATATATATATATATATAGGAGGAATTGATTAAATATTAAATATATTTATAACATAAAAACTGCGGTTTTTAATTTTTTTTCTATTTCCCGCAAAATATTCTGTAATGCTTAGCGTAGTATAATTATTTATGTGTAATGAATATTTTTGTATCGAAATATATGTCCCATTATTATTGACAAAGAGCACATCAATTATATCAATCTATTTTTAATTTTTTAAAAAAATCCAGCTTTTAAACAGATTTTTTTTTTTTTGCCTGAATTTCAAATAAAAAAAAGCGCTTATGAGAATGTGATATTAGAAATCCGCTTGAATATATGATAGTTTCTTAAAAGAATATATTTTTCATTGGAAAAACTTGTAACTTCCTATTTTCATGGTTAATGTTTATCAAGTTGTGAATAATTAATGACTTTAACAGGATTTAATATTCCAGAGTGTTATTACATAAAAAAATATAGAGAGAGAACTCTTCCGTTTATAAAACTATTCCTTTCTCATTTTCACAACAATCCTTTTTCATGTTTTGAATATTTAATGACAAAAACATCAGCTCCTTGTCCATCTTTTTTAATTACTTACAGGTATAATATCTAAATAATTTTTAAGCGACTTGTAATAATCAAGTGTCTAGAAAACAGGAGTAAAACGGTGAAAGAATAACAAAACATTTGAAAAGAGCCTGTATTCGACTGATGTAAATGAAAATTCGAGTGACAGAGAGAATTTTTGCAAACATGCGTGTCACGTTGATTATGCGCGAAGCCTGTTTTGCGGCCTTGCAGAGCGGCACAATTGATGGAATGAATCTCCCCAGCACCAGGTGTTGAAGGTCACAAAACCCGCATGAGGCGCGTTGAACAGTCACGTGTTTGAAAAGGAAAAAAGATGCTTAGCTGTCACTACACCATCGGCACGTGTCGGAATAACATTTGCTTATCGCTGCTTTTGTTAACACTAACAATAATAATAATAATAAAAAGACTGCAGATGTGCAAGAGCACTCAAACCCACTACGGATCCGGGCCTTTCTAATTTTATCTTAAACCACAGTGCGATTGTATTCACAAAAATAGGTCAAAATTGAAATAATTTTTTCACCTAAGTTATTTTTCGTAAAATTTTCTATAATTTCCCAAATTTTGAAAGCTTTAAGGGCACCAGGACATGCTTGAAAGAGTGAAATAGCCAAAAAATAAGACACTTTGTTTATGGGACATGTATCAAAAAAATTTACAATAGAGTTTAGATTTTTTTTGTGATCTTAAGGCATCCGACTACGTTCGGAACCGTGATTTTAAAAAAGCGCATAAATGGATAATTTTCATGATATTTAGTGCCACTCAGATTAGAATACATGCATAAAATTGTTTTAAGGACATTTTGACAAAAAAAGTTTATTTAAATATAATATTTTGGCAAAAAATTAACTTAGAATAATCTTTTTTCCAAATGTTCTACTTTTGAGAAAAATGCTTCTGTAATATTTTGCCTGTATATAGCTCAGACCGCAATACAGAGGCTCAACTAGAGTTTTTGAAAAATTCGCATTATTTTCAGAGTTACCACCAGTTGAAATAATTATTCGCGTTCTTTTCTTAAAATTGCTCCCCTTTGTTGTCGTAAAATATGAATAAACCCACTTCTAAGTTTTATATTTCAAAAATTCTAGTTGAGACTCTGAACAGAGGTCTGAGCTATATGCAGGCAAAATATTATTCTAATAGAAGCATTTTTCACAAAAGGAGAACATTTTGAGAAGGGATTATTTTAAGTTAATTTTTTGCCAAAATATTGTATTTAAATAAATTTTTTTTGTCAAAATGTCCTTAAAACAATTTTATGCATATATTCTAATCTAAGTGACACTAAATATCATGAGAATTATCCATTTATGAACTTTTGAAAATCACGGTTCCGAACGTAGTCGGATACCACAAAGATATTTTAAGCATTCTGCAGAAATACAATTTTTTCCTGTTTAATTTAAATTGGACGTAATTTTTGAGATCTCATAATACATGCTTATATTTATATAGGTACCATTTTTTTTAAAAAAAGTATCTCTGAAATATGTAAAATATTTTTTGCATAAATATAAAACAATGTACAAAATATAATGAACCTGTTTTTTAACTAAAATATTAGGATAGTTTCGTTAAAAAAATTATAAAACTTTCTTTTTTATTTTGAAAATTTTTATTTCCCCCCGTTTTTCATACATAAAACTATGCACTATTTCGACTAAAAAAATAGGTCCACTATATGCACAGGTATCCTGAATAAAAGTATAAAAAGTTTGGAACCATATATTGTAGTTGTTTTTCTATTTAAAGTATACATATAAAAGAAAAAATTATTCTTTGGAGAAAAAGTGAAAAAACTAAACATTTGTAAACGTTTGTTTACATTTTTGTCTATTGCATTTTTCATATATTAAGGTTATTTTATCAACGAACATATATAAGTGTTATACATTTTTAAGTTCTGAAAAATATACAGTTTTTTTAATACTAAAATTAAAAAATCGATTTTTTGAGTTTGTATGATGTCCTGGTTTTCTAAACTTAATAAAACTCAGAGCTATATAATAACTTTTATGTCCACTTTTGTTCACAATCCAGTGGACGATAAAAAAAATTTAAACTTGTTTATCTCAAATATAAAAATAGCTAGTTTATCTTCATTGATATCCAATGGCTTTTTTTAGTATTGTGCCAAATGTTTCGATATTTTTTCTAACTATTGTTATTAGTGAATATATGGCAGGGGGGTGCCGAGCCTTTATGGATCAACGTGCCATTTTTTCCAAAGAAATGTTTAATGAGGTATCGACGTGCCATCAAATAATTTTGACTTGTGATTATTGTGAAAATAATCAAACTAAACACTAACAACACAAAACTGCACGAAAACTTTACTACGAAAAAATGCCTGCACTGTTTATACCTGTAATTCAAACTAAAGTAACAATAGTGTGACTTCTGTTGCTACAGATTGGATGACAAATAACTTGTATTAGGATTGTAAGATGTTATTTTTCATAGAATACACATGCTGCATTTAAGTCATCTGCCAAACGGTTTCTAAGCAATTAATTATTTTTGTTGTGGTTCACTTTTTTTTTGACAAAAAAGTTTGTGTGATTTGTTTCAAAATACACAGTTTTACAGACGATGCTCTGCCACACCACTATTCCAGAATATAAAACACACACCGCTTTGTCGCCTTTACTAATAACGCCATGATTCTCTCGGTCCATCGAATTTTAAATTATTTCTGTTACACTTGCGATCTTTTACTTTTTGCTCTTTTGCTGAACTAGCCATGTTAAATAACAGTTAAACATCGTAAATGTAACACAGATAAACTAAAATACAGTTGTGGCAATGAAATTAACTATGCCATGCGTAGAAAAATTTACATCATAAGCAATTGTAGTTAGTCTACGACGTAACTAAGGCAAGATAATAAAAAACGAGTGTGCTGCCGCCGTCCTGTGACCGATTACTCGCATTTGTTAGTAATACTTCATAGTGAACTTTGAAATAAAATGCAAAACATTTTGATCACTGGCGTGCCAAAAATATTGTGTCGCGTGCCATCAATGGCACGAGTGCCACTGGTTCACCATCCCTGGTATATGGAATAAAAGATGGTATGTATTTCTTAATCAAGACAATATTTATTTTTAAAAAAAATAATCGAATTTAGAATTTATACATTTTTAAAGGTATTTTCAGTAAGCATTCATAAAAGGCTGTATTTTACGGATATCAATCCTGTTAGCAGAAAACCCATACCAACTTCTATTATGTATAGTTTAACAATCTTGTAAATCAAGTTTCAATTTTGTGTGCTTATTATAGTCAGAGGAAAAGCATTTGAAATTCTTTCATAAATTATCGCATTTTTCCTTAAAAATTACATGTCTGACTTTTTGTAGTGATTTGAGCACAAAAACTGTTTTATGTAATACGCTTACATCGGTTTCAAGCAAAAATCTCTAAAAATCGTTTAATCAATGATTTTTTTTAAGTAAATCGTACCATATCCCTATAAAACTCATTAAAGTAAAAGATGTAAAGATTAAAATAGGTTTTCTACTTTATAAATATAACTGTTATAATTAAAAAAAGATATTAATTTATTACTGGCTTTGAAAAATATCCAATACGATCCGAAATCAAGCATTGACAAAAGATAGACCCTACAAACCTACAATTTTAATTTTAACCCCTTTCCGATTTTTCCCGAGATGAGCTCCGGCAGGTGAAGCGTACCATCCTGGCTTATCCCGAGTGTAGCTCGGACATTATGAAAATTTTCACTGTGCAATATGTCTTTCACGAATTATTTCACATGTGCTTTTTATGGTTTCGAATGATTGAAAAGTACCACTCGGTGGAATTTTCTAAAAAATGAGGACGTTTTTCTGCTGAGCACACCCCCTTAA